ATTTGTAAAATACAAAGCACGCTCTTTTTCCCAAAAGGAACTAGAGTTGTATTTCGTTGGTTAAGAGTGGCCTGGGTCAGAGTACTCCTTGTGACATATTGGGGGTATGTCTTTAACAGCAAAATGTACACATCCCATAAAACAAACACTTTGAGAGTGAAATCATTGTTTCTTGCAACACTTTTCAAACCCCAACGAGGAAGAGTTAACTGTGACCTTGAAGAAATTATCTTCTCCTCAAGGGAACTTCTTTTATGTTATAGAAAATAAGCCCTCATGGTAATAGAGAACTAAAAACTCTGCTTTAAAAAAAGTCTTCATTAAGAATAGAACTTTTGCAGGGCAGAGGACCCATCATGCTCTTTGGGGACCACAGAATGCTTTTCCTTCTCCAGAAACCATGTAAAGGACCATTACCGGGCCGGCCCCGTGGCTTGGTGGTTAAGTGCGCGCGCTCCGCTACTGGCGGCCCGGGTTCGGATCCCGGGCGCGCACCGACACACCGCTTCTCCAGCCATGCTGAGGCCGCGTCCCACATACAGCAACTAGAAGGACGTGCAGCTATGACATACAACTATCTACTGAGGCTTTGGGGGAAAAATAAATAAATAAAATTATAAAAAAAAAAAAAAAAAGGACCATTACCTCTAGCACACCTATGGTGAGGCTCCAAGAGGCTTTCTGATCCACTCCAATGGAGTGGGCAACTCTCCCTAATTATTTAAGAATAGAGAAAATTAAGTCACTCGACTGGCAGCAAAATACAACCCTTGAGCTACCCTGCTAGCATGTTCAAAGATATATCACAAGTCACCTTCTATCAGTCCCAGTTGATGGCTTGGTGACAACAGAGAACAGTTTAGGTTTTTCTGAATATGCACATGTACACATACATATGACTAAGAAGTTGGAGTGAAACCCTCAATGACCAGACATTTTATAGTAGGACTCAGAAAACAGGCAACCTCTTACTTCCCACATGGTGGATCCTGTTTTTTCCCCACATCTAAAAATCCATATTCTGAGATAAAACAGGACTACTACAAAAGAGTGATGACCAGACTCCCAGAATACCACCTAGACAAGCTTTAGCAGTTAAACACCTTACAGCAAACTTACATTTTAATGTGGAAAGGAAGGGACTCTAACTCTGATCCTATAAAGCAGCTCTTCTCAACGGCATTTATTAATATGAACAGCCTGTCAACGTAGGTCAGATTTCAGCAGAGAGCATTAGCTGCCATCCTGGGGAAACAGTTCACATAGTTCTAAATGTCTCTGCCTAGCAAATTCTGAAGAGATGAAAGAAGGCGGAGAACTATAGGAGAAGTGCCCCTATAGGAGCACCACTTTCCATCTGTATGTTATGTGGCTTTTGTAAGTACTGTCTCATGAGACCCTCACAACAACGACCCTGCAAGGTAAGCAGGACAGGTATTATCTCCATCTTACAGGTGAAGAAATGGTTACTCTGAGGCTAAATGACTTACTTGCCCAAAGTCACAAGTCAGGCAGTTAATTAGCAGCCCAACCAGGAGATGAGCTTAGCCCTCTGACTCGTAGGTCAGGGCAATTTCCAGTACACTAGCCAGCTTCCTTACGTTATAGGATGAGGGCCAGTAGAGTGTACTGGTTAAGAGCGCAGGTACTGACACTGGCAGACCTGCATTCTAATCCCAGCTCCACCACCTATTAGCTATCTGACCTTGTATACGTCCCTCAACCTCTCCTTAAACCTCAGTTTCCTCATCTATAAAATGGGAATAGGGGCCAGCCCGGTGGCGTAGTGGTTAAGTTTGTGGGCTCTGCTTTGGTGGCCCAGGGTTTGCAAGTTTGAATCCTGGGCACGGACCCACACGCTGCTCATCAAGCCATGTGTGGTGGTGTCTCATATACAAAATAGAGGAAGATGGGCACAGATGTTAGCTCAGGGCTAATCTTCCTCAGCAAAAAGAGGAAGATTGGCAATGGATGTTAGCTCAGAGCCAATCTTTCTCACCAATAAATAAATAAATAAAATGGGAATAAAAATAGTCTTACCTCACAGAGTTATAGTGATTATTAAATGAGATGATGGACACAAGGCACTCAAATTCATTCACTCAACAAACATTTGTGCCAGGCACACACAGTGCAGGAGTTACAATAGTGATCAAGAAGCACAGTTCTGCTCTCATGGAGCTTAAAATTTAGTCAGATTAAACAGAAAAAGTAAATGGATAAATAAAATATAAAGTGTGTTAAGTGCTATTAAGGTAACAGGTGAGTGACTGGAGAGATTAACAGGAGGCAGCCAATTTTTAAGAGTGGTCTCTGAGAAGAAATTTAAGTTGAGCCCTAAGAGATCAGAAAGAGTTATCCATGTACAGAATAGAAGGAAAGGCATTCCAGGCCCAGGGAACAGGGCCTGTGAGGGTCATAGCCTGTGGAAGTGTAGGAACCGAGAGAAGACAAATGTGACTGCTGTGTATCCTCACAGGATTTAGGGAACAACCTTTACAGGCTGGCTGCAAGGATTACCATGTCTATTTTAAAAATAACAAAGATGAGGCTCAAGAGAGGTGATGTGTCTTGCCCAAGGTCACAGCTCCTCAGAGAAAGAGCTGGGACCCCAGTATTCTACCTCCTGACACAACATCAGTTCACTCCCTCTGAGGAAGCCTCGCACACACTGAACTCCCCCACCTATTTCACCAACAACTGTTTTCTGTGCCCAGGAAGAGTTCCAAAAGCACCCTGAAAACAAGCAACAGCACCACATCAACTTCCAGGCATCTAGTCAATTGTGCACCGAAATCCTTACCCTTCTACTCTTAGGACACAAGAACAAAAACTGCTCGGGTCTTACTCAGAGGCTTCAAAGTAGAAACAAGCTTCTCTTCTTACAGCAATGAACAAGAGAGGAAAGGGGTGTCCTGGAAGGGAGATCCCATGGCCTGTTCCAGAAGGTGAGATAGAAGAGTGGAAATATGAAGGCTCATCTCAAATGAACTGCACCAGAAAAAACAATAACTTTAGTTGAATAAAACAACAAATCCCTAAAGCAGAGATTCTCAATCAGGGTGGTATCCCCACCCTCGACAAGAGCATTTGGAAATTTGTGGGGGCATTTAGTGGGCAGGGCCAGGTACACTCAATGTCTTGCAAAAGGACAGGATGGCCCTATAAAGAATGTATTCCCCCAATAGTAACACCAGCCCCCACGCCCTTTCCTGTATTCCCATGGGTTTCACAGCTGAAGAGTCTGAAATTTGGGAATCCAGTTGTAAGCTCATAACTCCAGCATGGAACCTGGTGGTGAAATAAGGAAAATGAAGTTTCTGGTAAGAGACAGACAAGAAATTTCAGCAAAAAGGGAACTCCTTCCCCAGACAAGCATCTATAAGATTACATTTGTTTTGCAGCACACAAAATTCTATGGTTTTAGAGAAGCTTCTTATAGTGCTTTTTGGTTTAAAATCAGATACTAATGACAGTTCTTTTAAAAACTTAACCACAGTCATCTCACAAATACAACTGACTCTTTCTGGATCATATTTTATCAGAAAGATCATTAATTTCAAGATGTCTAAAGCTGATCAAATGCCTAAAAGTGCCAAAGGCAGTCATGCCTTGCATCTACTTCAGGTCAGAGAAGCTCCAACGATATCCAGAGGTCTGTTCGGGGCTTAAAATACCATCCTAGCTATTCAAAAGCTACTTTCAAGTGTTACCCTAAATTAGTCACTATTTTCCCCCCAAAATATTCCACAAATTAAAGTTTATAGTTTGACAAAAGTTTGAAAAAAAATGCAGACTCTTTCCAGATAAAAAAGAGATGCAAGAAGTCTACTCTATTTCACAATAGCTAGAACAGTGATCTGATAGATAAATCTTCCATAAAGCAATCTTTCTTCCACACAATATCTAAATTTTCTCAGCTTTCCCAAAGGAGTCTGAATACATTAACTTCTTCACTCCAACTTGCCAATTAGCAAATAGCGGCCCCACACTCCTTTTGACCAGTTTTCTAGAAGCCTAAGCTGCACGTTAGCTGAGCAGACAAACCTGTTTTCGTCCAGCAGCTCTTGCCAGTGCCTTTTCCACCCTGCCAGTCAGAGCCTGGGAAATCCTCCTCCAGCTTTTCACTGGCCTGTCACCAGAAGTTCACAAAATGAATTCATCCAGATTCTCTGAATCCTCTTCTTCCCTTCTTCCCCTATCTTGTGCCAACAGCCAGGCAATAAAATCCCACCTCTCCATTACAAAAAGATGCAGATTACAGGAAGACCAAGCACTTAGCAAGGAAAGGAAGAAAAAAGATGGAGGGATGTGACAGTCATGGAGCCAAGCCTACCGCATGCAGCACGGGCGACCAGAGCCCTGGTCCTGCAAAGCCTTCAGGGGAGGCTCCCTGGCTGGGCCCTCTATTCAGCACGCCACACCTGTCTATGCCAGCAGCCTGCTCCATTTTAAACAATTCAAACAGATCTCCAGCAGGGTAGCAAAATTGGGCATCCCCCTCTCCCAGCAAGAGTGAGAGCCCTAATCCGAACACCACATGCCCCCAATTTTATTTCTTTTCACACTCTTTGTTTGGGAGACCGGCTTGGTCAGATGGGATCCCTCTCTCTCCGTTAACGGCGAGGTAGGCACAATGCTGCAGTGACAGAATGGAAGCACTGAGGCCGACTTGCTGTAAACCAGACAAGACCTCTTTGAGGATGCTGATGCCAATAAATGGGATTTCAATAGGCAGGTTTCACTCTGCCCATCCACAAGTGAACCAACGCTTGAAGTCCTAAAATGCCCGGCTCCACAGCCTCGCAGAATGCCATGCCTCTTTTCTAGAGGGTAGGTATCCCATTCATCCCTTGGCTCTCGGAACCAAGGGGAAGACAGACAGATCCAAGTCGTGCACTCCACATCCAAACCTTCGCACGCGCGCGAAGGTTTGGGGAGCCCCGGCGCGCCCTCCCTTGCACTCCACCCTCCGAGGCCTCCACCATCCGCGGACTCACCACTGTGCGAGCTGAACCACCTGGGTGCGATGTGCAGAGGTAGAGCATCCGCCAGCGAGGCTCGGGAGCCCAGGTACAGCATCCCGTCTCTATGGTGACCGCCGCCCGTCTCCTGGTAACCATTGCCATGGGCATAGGTGGAGTCGGACGCGGACCCTCCGCCGCCGGGCGTCCTCTCCGAGTCGCCGGTCCCCCGGGAGGCGGGGGTGTAGAGGCCAAAGGGCACCCCCCCGGCCGTGCTGGGGTCCATGCCCATGCCTGCCACTGAGCTGACCGAGCGGCTGCGCAGCCCCATGGCCCCGCCGCCCGCCCGGTAGTGCCCAAAGTGGGGCGCCCCTCCCGGCGGGGGCACGGCGCTGTCATCGGTGGAGACCCCCGGGAAGGGGCCCCGGGAGCGGGCCGCCGTGCTCTGCTTGCCCCCCATGCTCGGCCGGGCCCCGGTGGGGCGGGCACCTGGAGGCGGAGACCCTCCCCCACTTCTCAGTAGCGAGGGGAGGGTTGGGCGAGCATAAAGGGGGAGGGAGTCAAAAAGGAGACTGGGAGGAAAAAAGGGAAAAAAAAACAAAAAGAAAAAAGAAAAGAAAACCCGCGGAGCGGAAGAGGCAGGCGGGCGGGGATCCCAAACTAAGAATTTAAAACGATCCAAGCCAAACGCATGTTTCGCCTCAAGGTCCAAAGAGGCGCAGTCCGGCGCGGGCTCGGCGCGCCACAGGCCGCCCCCGGGCTCCCGAAAGCCGGGGGAGCCGCAGGGAAGGAGGGAGGGAGGCGGCGGGCGAGCGGGCGGGCGGGCGCAGGGAGGCGCCAGAGGAGGCCGCCC